AAAGAAAAAGATACATCAGCTGGTTGCCTCTTTGCACATGCCCGACCGGGGCCGGGGGATTGAACCTGCAACTGAGGTTCGTGCCCTTGACCGGGAATCAAACCCGTGACCCTTCGGTGCACGGGTTGACACTCTAACCACTGAACACCCTGGCCAGGGCAAGAATCTCACATTTTGACTCAACACATGGACCAAGGTGGTGTCCGGCATTTGTATTCATCTCGCTGAAATACTGACATGTTTACGCTTCCTGTAGTTCTTCACACTTCATGACAAGCAATTTATTATACACAAAAGAATTTCAAAGGTGCACCTCTGGCACCTCATCCATTTTTTACGATGAATGACCGAGGCAGCACCTGAAATCCAATTCCTCTTCCTACACGTTTCACTGCCTGGCCCCTGGGTGCAGAGCCCCAGGTCCCAGCACGCCCCCACCCCCACCCCTCTCCCCATCTACATCCGTGGGGGGAGGTGGATGGAGGGACTCCAACCTTTGCCTTGCCCTGCAGCTGTTGACAGCAGCTTACACCGAAAGCTCAACACGCATCATAAAACATTTTCAATCCGCTCTGTCTCAAAGCGTGTGTGTGCTTTTTAAATCACTGATTGGCTTAGAGGAAGCAGAGGACAAAGTTAAACTCATTCTGAAAGCAGAAATGTGTGGCTTCCTTTATGAGAGCAGCAGAAATAGCCTGTTGGGGACCAGCTAGGACGGTAAGGGACAGGGCATCACGCTCTGTTGGCCGCGATGGTGTTGTTCTCATTGGAGAAGCCACAGCCTAACCTGGCTGGAGCAGCCTGTGGGCCTGGGCGCTCACCTGGACAGGCGGCCCCTCCTCCCCACCCCCTAGGCGCTCACCTGGACAGGCGGCCCCTCCTCCCCTCCTCCCCACCTGGGTGCTGCCTATGATCACGGAAAGATCGACAACCTCGTTGCAGACACCAGAGCCACCAGCCCTTTGAAGACCCCCCGCCTTTGCATACCCACAGGCCTTTGCAAATCTCCAGCCCCCATTACCTGTGAGCTGCCCATTCGGCATAACCCTTGTGCCTACTTCCCCATGTCATCTTCGTCCTCCTACCCAATAGAAGCAGCTGGCTGATGGTGGGGGGCAGAGCAGATGTTTGTGGGTGACCTGCTGCTCTCCCACGCTGCCGGCAGGACTGGAATAGACGCTCATCTAGGACTCAACCCTGTCTCTGCTGAACTGGCTCAAGTCGTGACAGGTAACACGGACCCATGGATTGTCCGGTCACACCGCCATTACTAATCTGTAAGCGCCAAACATTTTGTTTTCTTAGTGTTTATTTCCTGCTTTTTTGTGTGGCTGTCCTTGACATCACAGAACTGCTAGCAGCACCGCCATCAGATCAATTCCATTTCCAGGAGCCACCATGTGGTTGCTTTTCTTGCATCATTAGCCCAGCACGAGGTCCCCCTGCGGGCCCCAGCGGGGTGGTAGGCAGTCTGCGTGGGAGGCTGCCTCTGCCGCCAGCATCTGGGAAGTAGTTTGCGGCCGACCGCGGTGCACTGTGCCTCTGTCTGGCCTCACCTTGTCTTGTGCTAGCAAATCCGTAAAAGGTCTAGTCCGTGGTGGTGAGAAGTGTCCCTGGGCCGTTTTCAGAGTTGTCACCGGCAAGTCCCCTTTCAACACTGAGAACTGTAGGGTATGGATGGGTTAAGGTAAAAGAACATTCAAACCTGTCAAGAATTTCTGCGAGTGTGTTTGAGCCAAACTGTGGACAATTGCCAGGATGCAGATCAATGTCCTGAGATCACGCCCTGGAGAATGGTGGTTTTTCACCTTGTTTTATACATTACTAGAGGCCTGGTGCACGAAATCCGTGCACTGGGGGGCAGGGGGCGGGGGGGTTGTCTCAGCCCGGCCTGCACCCTCATGCAGTCCAGAAGCTCTCGGGGGATGTCCGACTGCCCTGGAGGTGGGAGAGGCTCCTGCCACCGCTGCTGCACTCACCAGCTGTGAGCCTGGCTTCTGGCTGAGCAGCACTCCCCCTGTGGGAGCGCACTGACCACCAGGGAGAGGCTCCTGTGTTGAGCATCTGCCCCCTGGTGGTCAGTGCACGTCATAGTAACTGGTTGTTCGGCCATTTGGTCAATTTGCATATTAGCCTTTTATTATATAGGTTAATCGAAAGAGATAAGTGGGTTACATGAAACCCATTGGTGATAGATTAGGGAGGTGGGAGAAAGTAAAGTGGGGGGGACCTCTGGGGTTGGATAAAAAGTAAAATGATAGACGCGTGCTTCTTTGACATGGTGGATGCAGGTTAGTTAACAATCAGCAATCAACAGGATAACAATAACGGGGAGGGAATGTGTGGTCAGCGCCCTGATGCATCGATTGTGCCCCGAGGGGTCTGGGAAAAGGGAAGTTACTAGTCACCCCGACATTCCACAGGTGTGCTATCAGATGCACAAAGACAGTAGGCTCAGTAGAGATCAAAGTTGATCTTTGTCAAGGAAGACACTGGCCTAGAACATGACTACCCTCCATAAACTGCATTTTAATGAAAGGCTTTTAATTTCAGACCATCCTTGGTGGTTAGTTTAGGTCTTGACTTGGCAAGGCTGCCACGCAGGCCAGCCCTGAGTTCATCAGGTTAGCCTGTGGCCCTTTTATTTGTCCACATAAGTCCTCAAAAACACGACAAGTTCATGCCCTGTGGGCACACCCTGCGCCTCACTTCTCTCTGTCTCTCAATCCACATTGCTGTTTGCCGGCTCAGAATGGCGTGGCCGCGCCCGCGTTAACGAGGCTGCCTGCCCACGCTCCCCGCACACGGAAAGGAAAGCATTTCTGCAAACAACACCTCACGGATGTTTGTACAAAATAGTTCCCAGAACGAGCCCTTTAAAGGGGAGATAGTCACATGCATTCAACTTGCAGATCCTCTGGCCTTTCCATCAATTTCTTTACTAAGTAGCCTGGCATGTTCGCTGCTTCATTAAAGGCGGGGAGGGAGGAGTTCCGTCCACTCTAAGGCTTGCCTAATCAATGCTGACGAATGTCTGTATATATCTAAAAACCGCAGGTAAGCCATTAATATGACAACGAGGGTGATTCCTAAGAGCAGTCAGACAAGAGCCCGTGAGTGTGGGGGGTCTGTGGAGGGCAGTTCCTCTGCTCCCGTTAGGATTCTGTAGGGGAGCATCCTCTCTATTCCTGTCCCACTTTCCATTTCCTTGGTAACCGTGATCCCGACACAGGAGTCAGGTTCAAGGACCACAGGCGGCGGGGAGCGGGGAGCCGGGAGCAGGGAGCGTGCCTGAGCCGCCTCCTCACTGATAAGGGGACAAAGGAGAGGAGAAGGAACTGCAGAGGAGTCGTGTTTGCATTCCTGTCCTGTCCCTTTGAACATCCGATGTTCCACTTGACCTTCTGCCCCAAGGATTTTGCAGAGTCGCCTCTGACAGAAGGCAGCCCGAGGGGAATGTGCCAGAAGCCGGCGGCCAGAGAGAGCGGCCACTTCGTTTATCCTGAAACCCGCACACTGGGTGGGCGTCTGCCTCCCGGGCTGAGCTAAGGGGAGGGGGGCGGGATGTGTGTGTGTAAGCCCCTGCTTGGGCCCGAGTCTCGTCAAGTCCCAGCTCCATGCTCAACCCCCTGGGCTCCCCGCCCCCCAGCCCACGGCCACAGGCCTGGCCGCGACTGACACGCATCAGGCCTGGTGCCAGCAGCGGGGAACCTGCAGAGCTAACCGAGCAGGTGCGTCTGGGCTAAGGATTTAACAGTTAACGTTTCCACTTGGAAGTTAGTCTTTCTCCCTGGCGTGCAGAGAAATCAATAATGTAGAATGTCAGAGACGGAATTTCCCCCAGTGAATGAATACCTGACGTATATCTGGTTTTCAAAGCCATACACAGCATATCTGCTCTATCTGATTAGATATAGATATAGATATAGATATAAATGTAGAGTAGATATAGATGTATAGATATAGAGATGTATAGATATGTAGATATATAGGTACATCCTACAGTGGGGCCTTGACTTACGAGTGTCCCGACTAACGAGTTTTTTGAGATACCAGCTGTCTCTCGGTCGATTTTTTGCATTGAGTTGATAGAGTAATTTGAGTTAACGAGCTCCTTAACGAGCTCGGTCTCGGAACGAATTAAACTCGTAAGTCAAGGCCCCACTGTAGTAGAATCTCATTGTTGTGCAAAATGAAGCAACCCCACGAGGCATTAGTAGAAACAGTAACAGAGCCGTTGCCGCCCCATATCGACAGAGGACACCACCCAGGTTTTTTTGAGGAAGGTCAACGACCACCCCCACTTTGCAGGTGGAAAAGCTGTCACTCACTGACGGGTCACACATGAATGATGAGAGAGAACCTTTGATCGGCTCCCTCCCGCATTCCACCCACTGGGGATCGAGCCTGCAACCCGGGCATGTGCCCTGACCGGGAATCGAACCGTGACCTCCTGGTTCATAGGTGGATGCTCAACAGCTGAGCCGCGCCGGCTGGGCAACACAGACGCTCCCACCAGGGGCTACTGTGCCCACATTACAGACAAGAACACAGATGCCTGCCCGGGGCCTGCAGCTCGCGGTGGCAGAGTAGGGCCGGCCCAGACAGGCAGGGTCCCGGAGAAAGGCCTTCCGAGGCCGGTGAGCGGTCGGCTCTGCCCCGGGCCCCGTGGGCGCCTCCTGGATAACAGGCCCCATGCTTAACCCGAGGCCGCTGCGGGCCGGGCTGGGAGGCAGGAGCCCCACCTGCGGAGTCGGCTGTGCGCCCACACCTGGCCTTCCATCTCCGCATATAAGGGATCCTCCGGCGCCCACACGCCGGCTCCAGCTCCCACACTGACCTTGATCTCGACCTGCAGGATGCCCCACGCTCCCGGCGCCATGTGGCTGTGCCCCCTGCTGCTCTGCCTGCCCCTGTCTCTGGCCCTGAGCGGCCAGCCTGAGCCCGAGGCCCCGGAAGATGCTGGTGAACTGCACTGCGGGCCCCAGGGCCTCCAGTACACGGTCCACCCCCTGGGCCAGGCCTCGGGGACGCCTCCCACGCTGATAGCCTGGGGTAAGGCTGCCGCCCCCACTCACCTGGCCTGCCCCCTGGGCAATGGCTCCTCTCTGCTGCCTCCTCCAGCCGCCCTCCGGCCTCCTGTCCTCTGCGGAGCCCTGGGGTCCCTCTCCTGGGTGGTGGGTGGCCCCGTGGAGCTGGGTGCTCCCTGTGCAGTCGCCGTGGTGACTGGCCCTCGGGACCGTTGCCCTCCCTCCCCCCAGACGACCACGGGCTGCTGCACCGGCTGCAGAATGACTCTGGCTGCGGCACCCGGGTGTCGGGGGGCCCGGGCCACTCTCTGGTGCTGGAGGCGTCCTACGGCGGCTGCTATGTCACCGAGTGGGTGAGTAGGGCCCAGGCCTGGGGACCCCTGAGTCGCCCGGCCCCCAGGCTGACGCTGGCCCGTCTCTGCAGGGTTCCCAGCACATCATGCCCGTGGGGCTCGAGCAGGCAGACACGGATGGGCGCCAGGCGGTGGCAACGGCCAAGCTGCTCAAGTGCCCCATCGGCCTCCCAGGTATGTGCTGGGCCAGGCCCACCTGCGCGGTGAGTGACACCTGTCACTCGTGAAGGCCCTCCCACCACTCACATCCTCAGATAACCTCCACCTGAGGCCGGGTGCAGCCCGTGGTCTAAAGGGGCAACGCTGATAAAATGGGGTGACAGCCACCCCAGACCTACGCTGATCTGCCGCCTGGGCCGCTGCAGGTCCGAGAGGCGAGCAGGCACGGGGGCCTGGGCGGAGGGCACCCCCACGGGAGAAACCTTTCCCTGCAGGAGGGTGAGGAGCCCCCTGCGTCTAGGGTTCTCGTTAGACCTCAGGGCCCCTCCCAGGTGCCTCCCATGGGCCTCATTCCCAAGACCTCGCCGCGGGCGGGACAGGGAGACCGATGGGAGCATTAACCTTCCAGCAGTGGCTCCCGAGGCCCCGGCTCTGTCACCAGCTCGGGCTGCTCTGCTCCCCACCGTCTAGGCCTCGACGTGCTGGGCGCTCACCTGTGCGACTCGGTCCCCGTGGGGGACAGGCTGCCCTGCGCCCCGGCTCCCGCCACTCCCCGGGCCTGCAAGGCACTGGGCTGCTGCTACAACCCCAGCGGCAGGTCCTGTTACTATGGGAACACAGGTGAGGCGGCTGCTCTACAAGCAGCGGAGGGAAGTGCCCATTACCTGCAGCTGAGCCTGGGGGAGGGCTCGTCCCCCACTGACCCCCCTCAGGAGGCAGGGGCTGGAGGCAGAGGCCCAAGCAGTGCAAGCTTCCTCCAGGCTCCTGGTTTCTGGGCTCCTAGAAACCATGCAGAACGAAATAACAGGCGTCTGGGTAGTGTTGCACAGTGGTTAGAGCCAGCCTGTGCCCCAGAGGGTCTCTGCTGTAGCTCCCAGCCAAGGTTTGGCCCCCAGCCCTGGTCAGGGCACCTGTGGGAGGCAGCCGGTTGATGCGATGTCTCTCTCACGTTGATATTTCTCTCCCCAGCCTTCTCTCACTCTCTTCCCCCTTCCCTTCTTCCCTCCCTCCTACTCCTCCTAAAATATTAACCCATGAACAAAGTTTCCTTGAGTGAGGACTTTAAAAATAACATATAATGCCGCCTGGAAGCCAAGTCCAGGTGCAGGCGCCACCTGGGTGAGCCAGGAACGGCCCGCCCCGGCCAGGGGTCCCCAGGCTGAGGCTAGAGGGTCTTAACACCATTTTCTCCACATCCCACCCTGCCGAGGTTTCCCAAGGCAAACGCCCTTGGTGAGTGAGCACAGGCCCCCCCCGTCCTCAGCTCTGAAACTAGTGAACAAGAACCACCGAGGTTAAACACGTGCTGAGTCCCCCAGGGGAGGCACCCATGAGTGACCCCGAGCCGGGCGTGGGCAGCTGGACCGGCACCCGGTCGGGGGCGCCGTGAACATAACGGAACTCTGAGGCCCGGGCAACCGGCCGCTGGCGGGGATGCGGCTGAGGCGGTGGCCACGTCGGCCTTCGCCCTGTTCCGGTTCCCCTTCACCGCCTGCGGGACCACCCGACGGGTGAGCAGGGGACCCTCCGCTGGGGGCCTCACCCTGAAGGCAGCAGGCGTGTGCTCGTGGCTGGGGTGGGGGGGCTGGGGCTCTGGGCAGGAAGAGTCTCCCCAACACTGAGTCCGGGGGCTGGTCTCCAGGACAGGAATGCTCACCCCAGGGACTGTGCCACCCAGCAGCCCCTACACATGGGGCCTGGCACCCCCACCAGCAGAGAAGAGGAAGAGGTGCCTCTTATCCACCTGCCCCAGAAGCCAGCGGGGGCCTCACCTGAGCTCCCCTGAGTCCTCCCAGCCCCTCCCTTTCCTTTGTCCTCACGTGAGGTGACGTGACTATGTCCCCTCCTCTGCCTGTGGAGCAGAAAACGCCACAAACACGAACAGGATAGCATCGCTGGGGGCCGGGCCCCCGCAGGCAGGGGCCAGGGCAGCGGTCATGGCCAGTAGGGGCTGGGGCAGCGCCCTGGCCAGCAGGTGTGCCATGTCTCCTTCACCTGCTCTCCCAGGTCACTGGGGACCAGGCCGTCTATGAAAACGAGCTGGTTGCAGCCCAGGATGTGAGAACCTGGAGCCGTGGCTCCATCACCCGTGACAGTACCTTCAGGTAAAGGCCTTCGCTCGCTGGACGCTGCTCCCCTAGGCCGAGCTGCCCTCTTGGCATAGACCAGGGGTTGGTAGGTGAGTCCTCGGTCCCCAGAACCCGACTCCACAGAACAATTCCTGGAGACCAGAGAACCTGTCACCTGCCTGACCCAGTGTTTCTTGCCTCCAGATGTTTCTTGTCAACTGTGCCCCCTCCTGGACCTCCATTATGGTTTCATCTTCGTATCAAATCCCTGTTTGATCTTCCCTGATTGCGCTCACCACTGAAGGCACCTGTTTCTATAGGCCCATGTCTGTTCTCAGGCATCTCTTACATCTTCCTCTCTTAAAGACTGACCCCCTTTCCACAATGGTCTCCCCAACTCAAATAGAGCCCTTCCATCCCCAGGCCAGGAACCACACCCATCACATTGACAAGCGTGTCCAACCCCTGGCACTTAGTAGTCGTAGTTCTCCCGCATGACACACAAGGGGCCTCGCCCACCAGAGAGCGGCTGACGCCTGTTTCTCTGCAGGCTCCGTGTCAGCTGCACCTACCCTGTGAGCAGCAGCGCCCTCCCGGTCAACGTCCAGGTCTCCCTTCTCCCACCGCCCCTTCCCGAGACCCAGCCCGGAGCCCTCACCCTGGAGCTTCAGATCGCGAAAGGTGAGACCCTTTTGGCTGGAGCGCTTGGCTGCAGCCCGAGCCTGTCCCTCTTCGGGGCCTGGAGACCCTGCCTGGGCCACGGACACTTGCTAGAGGCGTTGGCGTGGGTGATGGCCCGTCTCACGCAGCCCCGAGCGGCCTGGCTCCGTCTTCTCCCCCTCACTGTGGCCTCTTGCAGATGGAAACTACAGCGCCTACTACCGCGCAGGTGACTACCCGGTGGTGAAGTTGCTCCGGGACCCCATCTTCGTGGAGGTCGCCCTCCGCCACAGGACAGACCCCGACCTGGGGCTGCTGCTGGATCAGTGCTGGGCCACGCCCGGCCCCGACCCCGGGCAGCAGCCGCAGTGGGCGCTGCTGGTGAACGGGTGAGCGGCTGTCGCCTGTGCCTGAGGCAGCCCCCCCAGGAAAGCCCCCTCCCCCTGACTGTGGGTGTTGTGCTTAGATGCCCCTACGCCGGAGACAACTACCAGACCCAGCTGATCCCCGTCCCGGATACCAACCTGCAACCC